AGGCTCCATACTACATGCCTGTAGTCCCAGCTACTTGGGAGGCTGAGGCAGGAGAATCACTTGAACCCAGGAGGCAGACATTGCAGTGAGCTGAGATCACACCACTGCACGCCAGCATGGCGACAGAAGGAGATTCCATCTCAAAAAGAAATAGCCATGATTTTTCAGTCCCTAAACAGGAACCGTGATATCCATAAACCTTTGCGACAGCTTTGAAGAGAAATCTCCTCCAAACCCATAATGTGGTCAGACATTTGTGAATTTCATGCGAAGCTTTACATTACAGGTTTTTAATGGATGGCAGCAGAGTGTGTACTGGCTAAAAGCGAAGTTTGGTGTCCCATGGCTTCAGTTTGACTCCACATTTTCTCTATTTACCCAGACAGTGAAAGTAACTGATCTTCAAAGTAACTAAACCTTCATTTCTTTCTCTCTAACATGGGAATAATAATACTTTGCAGGTTTGTGTAAATATTAAACAAAATATGGCTTATAAATTGCTTGGCACCATGCCTAACACACAGTAGGTGTTTAATAAATGTTAGCTGCTATCTCTAGGATATTCCATTTCCAAGGGAAAATTGGATTGTATATTAATGATCAGGAAATGAATTCTGAAAGCTCAAAGTCATTTGTTTGATTGACCAGGTCTAAGTGGGCCTTTTGTTTTTAAGTGTAATAAATGAATGATTTTAGACTATTTCAGATTTTAGATAAGGTTCTAGAGGGATGGCTCACACCCACCCTGGCTGCACATTAAAATTGTCTGGAGGACTTTTCAAACCCTGATACCCATGTCTCAGCCTAGACAAATTATGTTGGAGACTCTGGGGAAGGAAGCAATGCCTCAGAATATTTTTATGTATCTATATATATATTTATTTATTCATTTTAAGGCAGAGTCTCGCTCTCTCACCCAGGCTGAAGTGCAGTGGTGTGATCTCAGCTCACTGCAACCTCAGGCCCCTAGGTTCAAGCAGCCCTTCCCCTCAGCCTCCCAAGTAGCTGGGATTACAGGCACCTACCACCACACCTGGCTAATTTTTGTATTTTTTAGTAGAGATAGAGTTTCACCATGTTGGCCAAGCTAGTCTTGAACTTCTGACCTCAGGTGACTCGCCCATCTTGGCCTCCCAAAGTGATGGGATTACAGGCGTGAGCCACCGCACACAACCCATTTTTAAATCTCTTCAGGTGATTTCAACAATCAGCCAAATAAAGTCCTCATTTGCTCTAAAAATCTGAACCCACTTAGTAGTTGCATTAAAGATAGAAAAATAGCTCCAAAGTGGCACTGGTCAGTGCTAAAATGAAGTTTTCTATGGGAGGCTGCTCCTATGCATGACAATGCTAAAATAGCACTAATTCTCATCTATGCCACTTTGTAAATGTAAAAACAAGGCTCTATATTCTTAACAAAGCCCTGTAGAGAGAGCCTGCCCTAAAGAATTAAAATTCACTTGACTCACTGGGATTAGCACTTGGTATTTTTCTCACAGCAAATATATTGGCAGTGCATGCAAAAAGATGGTTAACTTCTACCAACCTTGAAACTGAATTCCAGAATATCACTGACATATTATTAATTGTCTTATATCCTTTGTGACATCTTTTAATTAAAAACTCAGGACTGGCCGGGTGCTGTGGCTCATGCCTGTAATCCCAGCCCTTTGGGAGGCCGAGGCAGGAGGATCACCTGAGGTCAGCAGTTCGAGACCAGCCTGGCCAACATGGTGAAACCCCATCTCTAAAACAACAACAACAACAAAAACTCAGGACTGCCTGGAGGGGGAGAAGAATGGGCAGTTATTGTTTAATGGGTACAGAGTTTCAATTTGGGATGATGAAAAAAATTCTTTAGATGGCGGTGATGGTTGCTGTTCTGTCTTCTTTTATGTTATAGCAATCAAGTGCATCCATCCACAAGAGGAGACATAGGAGACATTCAGGAAAACATAGATATGGCATACTACCCAGGGCCACAAGAAAAGGCATCAGCTTCAGTCAGGAGGCAGAGGGGCAGGAGGGAGGGGAGGACCTGGGCCAGGCCTTTATTGTAGTTTCCACAAGAAAGGCAGAGCAGGGTAAACAGTTTAGGATTGGTTAATTTGAATAATTTCACCAGGCTCTAAGCTATAGAGGTGGTCCCTAATTGTCTGGTACCTGGCACTGGAATGACTGAAGCAGAGGAATAAATATTTTCTCTGGGTGTATGGGCTAGACAGAAGAGTTCTGGCCCTGAATAGGTTAGTCTGTGTATCAAAAACATGCTCCCAGCCTAACTCTTCGCTATCTCTAAGAATTAGCCCCAGGAGGAGCAGTCTCTCCCCAGCCAAGAAGAATTTAAGATGTCAAAACATAATATGCAGAAAAGTGAAAATACAAACAATATGATTGCACCACAATGTAAATGTATTTAATGTATAGCTGAAAATGGCAAAATGGTAAATTTTATGTTATATTTATTTTACCACAATCTTTTTAAATCCCAGCATCCATAAGATCAAAAATATAGTAATCTAGGCAAAAGATAAGAACCAAAAGAAAAAAATGGGGAGGTAGAAGACAAAACTTACATCAAGAATTTCGAGGTTCACTGAAGTATGTCTCTTCTCCAAGTATAAAAGAAGGAACTGGCCAGGTGTGGTGGCTCATGCCTGTAATCCCAGCACTATGGGAGGCCAAGATGGGCAGATCACTTGAAGTCAGGAGTTTGAATCCAGCCTGTCCAACATGGTGAAACCCCATCTCTACTAAAAATACAAAAATTAGCAGGGCATGGTGGCAGGCACCTGTAATCCCAGCTACTCGGGAGGCTGAGGCAGGAGAATCGCTTGAACCCCGGAAGCAGATGTTGCAGTGAGCCGAGATCACACCACTGTACTCCATCCTGGGTGACAGACAGACTCCGTCTTGGGGGGAAAAAAAAAAAAGAGCTGTCTTCTACAAAGTACTGGTCACTCCCCGAAGTGCAAATTTTAAGCAATTCTCAAAATTACCCAGCATAGTAGATGAAAAGGAAAGGAAACAGTACAGAATTGCTTCATCCTCTAAAACCATTTTTCACTTCTCATTATTCTATCACGCTCTAAAAACATTCAGGAACTCTGGTGTTGGTCATTCTCCCCTAAAAACCTGACTCATCTTAATGTGTGAAGCTGCAGCACTAGAGGCTATGCCTTTTCTGCACTTCTTGGCTCGCCAATTCAGTGTTAACATGTTCTCTTGCTAAAGTAGACCACCAACTTAGCTGCAGGCCCTTTCTACAGAAGTGCTCAGTTACACATCATGTGCACACGTGTGTGCATGTGTAATAATTAGTTTTAATCTGTACATCTATGTGCATCATTATCCTGAATTTCTTACTTCCAGATCACTCCTTTAATACACCAGCCTGTATAGTTTTCATCCAAAATAGTTTAACTGACAAAACTATTGCTCCATCGCATCTCCCCATCTAGTTTTCCTCTTCTCTATAATCTGGGAAACCCACCATCAATTCTTCTTTTTCCTTACTCATCTGCCAAATCTTTTCTCCATTCCCTATGCCAAGATCCTCGGGCATAAACACCTATGGCTGCCAAACCTTCCTGCTCTTGTCCTAATATAAGCAAACTGAAGTTGACTACCCTTTGCCCTCTCTGCAATTTGCTTTGTATATCCAGTTGTCAGATGCCTGCAGAGTAAGTACTAGGAGAAAGGAAACAAGCTGCTCCTTCTTCTGCAGAAGGAGAGTGAAGAAAAGAGGGGATAGCTCTCTAAAGCCATTGGTAAGAAAGACCCTGGAGTCTTATAAAGCACTGGTTTTAAATGGCTAGGTGTGATCCATCCTTGTTTTCCTCTTTTCTGTGTGCTCCGTGGAAGCGTGATCTTTATCACGATGCACTATTCCATTCCTTCCAACCGAGCAGATATCTGTTGCTCCCTAAATATCTAAGAAAATGTTTGAGAGCTGGTAGAACAGTTTGGTTCACATATAAAGTTGTGTCAGCTTTCCAGTGTTCAGGGCATTGTTCTGAGGCCTTTGATCTAATACAGGCCTACATGTAGCACACAGTGAGCACTGCACTGCCATCAGGAGAGTTAGAATTCACATCCTAATTTGGCCACCAACCAGCCCTGGGTACTTGGGCAAATTATCTAATTTTCTATACCCCAGTGTCTGCATTTATAAGATGGAGCTAATAACAATGAATACTGTGGAACACTTACAATATGAGCACTGATCTAAGTAGCTTACACATATCCCTTCCTATCCTCCTTTCAGCAACTCTATGAAGTGGGTATGCTATTATTGTCACCCATTTTAAAGATGTGAAAACTGAGGCACAAAGGTTCATTATTAGTAGCTTGCCATTGGTCCCAAAACTATATACAGAGCTAGGATTCAAATCTAGTCCAATGGCCAGAACTCAGACTCCCACTGAGGGTGCTCCATTGCAGACCCTGTCTCACTGAATTGTGATCATTAGATTTAGTATTTGGAAGTAAATCTAACATGTTATTAATTTTCCTGAAGTTCACTTCCCTATCTGTTAAAAAGAGACAATCTATAATTTTCAGAGTTTCTATAAGGAGTTGAGATAAAGCAGGCTTAGTACCCAGAACAATTTATGACACATATATTAGGTTATTGATACATTGGAGCTACTAATATTATTGTTATTTATATTATTAAAATATTCTATTCCAGGTGACAAGAAAAGTTTATTTATTTCTCTCCATTCCCAATGACACCAGGACATTGTGCATGGTGTTAATGTTAATTGCATTCCACAGAAAACATGCTTTTCATTGAGTTCAAGGGGGAAAAAAATACGTTCATTGTGTTACAGTTTACATAAGGAAGAAAGGTAAGATTCCCACTCCCCACTTTCATTCCCTACCATTCCCACAGACAAAACATGGTTTTGCATTTAAATCTCAAGACATAATATAGGACTAAGCCTGTCTGCTGCTACAATGTGAAACTAACATTTTTCCCCTTTGCTTCTTTACAGATTTTTGCATATATGAATGAAACCTCTTCACGAAAGGAAAAGTGGGACCTCCAAGCTCTTAGATTTTTATCAATTAATTCAATAATTGACCCTTGGGTCTTTGCCATCCTTAGGCCTCCTGTTCTGAGACTGATACGTTCAGTCCTTTGTTGTCGGATTTCATTAAGAACACAAGATGCAACACAAACTTCCTGTTCTACACAGTCAGATGCCAGTAAACAGGCTGACCTCTGAGGTCAGTAGTTTAAAGTTCTTAGTTATATAGCATCTGGAAGATCATTTTGAAATGGTTCCTTGGAGAAATGAAAACAATGTGTAAACAAAATGAAGCTGCCCTAATAAAAAGGAATATACAAACATTTAGGCTGCGGTCAAGGCTACAGATGTGCTGATAAGGCACTTCATGTAAAGTGTCAGAAGGAGCTATAAAACCTACCCTCAATAAGCATGGCACTTGGCCTTTGGAGGAACAGTCGGCTGCACTTAAGATCCAGTTGCCTTTTGATTTAAGCTTTCCTGTTGAATGACAAAGCATGTGGTTTCATAATTTGTTTCAAACCCCAAATAGTGACTATATTTTCTATTTTAATCTTGCTACTACCGTGATAAACATTCAGTGTACAGCCAGACCAGATTAAACATCATATGTATTCTCTAGAAGTCGATATGTGGAAGCAACCAAGCCTGCTGTCTTGTGATTACTTAATGAACTCTTTATTTGAACAACGAAGTTGAAAATCATAGGCACCTTTTACTGTGATGTTTGTGTATGTGGAGTACTCTCTCATCACTACAGCGTTACTCTTAGAAGTGTGAAGTCAGTCGGTTAACATCAGTTTTGTTTACTCATCCTCCAGGAGCTACACGTCAATACGTCAGGTTATTTATTTTATAATGTCCATATGCTAATAGTGAGCAAGAAGACTTGTTCTCTCAACAAGAAATAATAGAAATGTTTTAATATTCTTTATCCTATTTCCAGGGGAGGATGTATGTGGCCATGTATGAAGCCAAATATTAGGATTAAAAACTGAAAAATCTGGTTCATTCTTCAGATATACTGGAACTCTTTTAATGTTGATATTGGGGCCATGAGTAAAACAGACTTTATAAGATGACTGTGTTGTATCAAATTCATCTGTCTATATTTTATTTAGGAAACATGGTTTGACTCATATTATATGGGAAATCATGTAGCAGTGAGTCATATCTTAATATATTTCTAAATGTTTGGCATGTAAATGTAAACTCAGCATCAAAATATTTCAGTGAATTTGCACTGTTTAATCATAGTTACTGTGTAGACTCATCTGAAATGTTACAAAATAAACTATAAAACAAAAATTTGAAAACAGAATAGTATTTTATGAACTTCCTCAAATAACATTTTACAATTAACATAAACATAATATCTTTTAAATGAGATCAAAGTGGAAAAATTATATTTAATTTGGCAGATTTGTAAACTGTGGTTGCCAGGTTTTTAAAGTGTGGTTGCAAATTAGAGATTATAATATTCATAATAATATTTGGTATTGGAAGATATTTTTTTCCTTCAGTTTTTACCCTTCCAGTATGGTCTTTAAAATAGTAGAACCGTCTTATTTTTTGCATAATGTTATTACAGAATAACCATTTACTTAAAAAAAGAAAAAAAAGAGACAGATGCTTGTTTTCTCCAAAGTCTCATTGTTTATCCAAAACTAATTCCTTTAAGCAGTTATCAAACTAGATGATCACTTAGAATGATTTCAAACCAATCTAGGCATCAGTGTATTTTGATACAAACAATCTACATCAAATCAGCTCTTATTTTTAAGAAGAATAAATAACTGGTTTGCTTTTCTACAAATTTACACAAGTCAGGCAAAATTTAACTTGATTAAAATCTGGACATAGAAATAAATCTTCCCTGTCCACCAGGCATTCTAAAGTTAAGAAATTATTCTAAATGGAACTAATTAGGCCCATGGGTAATTCCTAAACATAAAATTCTGAAGTTGCTTTGAATCTAGAAGATTGATTCCTTTTATCAGATGACTTTTTTTTCTGCAGATGAAAATGTCAACAACAATTTTTTAACCCACCTTACCAATCCCCTAAAATCCCAGAATAATGCCTGAGAACTGAAAACAAGAATGCAAAATTGGACATAATATCACTAGCAGAAACAAAATTATTCACTCTGGGAGCCCAAAGTATAAGAATTTAAGCCACTTATTTAAGCACTGGTATATATCTAGAACTTTGTTTTCTCATGTACTCCTGTTCCATGCACTGTGCTGAATGACTAAATCCTGGTATTTCTTTTTTTCTTTTTTTTTTTTTTTGAGACGGAGTTTCGCTCTTGTTACCCAGGCTGGAGTGCCATGGCGCGATGTCGGCTCACCACAACCTCCACCTCCTGGGTTCAGGCAATTCTCCTGCCTCAGCCTCCTGAGTAGCTGGGATTATAGGCACGCACCACCATGCCCATCTAATTTTTTGTATTTTTAGTAGAGACGGGGTTTCACCATGTTGACCAGGATGGTCTCGATCTCTTGACCTCGGGATTCACCCACCTCGGCCTCCCAAAGTGCTGGGATTACAGGCGTGATCCTGGTATTTCATTTACACCAATATATATGCAGAAGAACGTGAAAGTAAAAATCCTCTGTAATAGTAATTCTTCCTATTAATGGCAATGTAAAGGTAACTTAGAAAAAAATTATTAAAATTAGATATGTAAATAATCCCTTTCTAAAAATTCTATCACATCAGACATACCTGTTTCAGTTATTCATTTTCAAGTTAAATAAAAGAATTTACTTAGCCTGATATATTAGAAAACTGAATTGTGATAAAAGAAGACTTAGACTTTACTCTTTGCCCTTAATAGTCAGAATGAAAAGGGAGAAAGAAACTATAGTGGGTATTCCCCGCAGCATGACAGCCCTAAGTTTAGGTGTTTGGATGTGGGATGGACCAAGCTGTCTGCTCTGAGCTGAGTTATTCCTAAATGGTTCAGCGTGGCCCTGGTCATCTTTTCCAAGAAAGAACTGAAAAATTCTGGTGCTAAATGGTGGCGTTGAATCTCCAAAAATCTGATCGGGATCTGAGTTTGCTTAGAAGGTACAAGATGACTCTGGAAGACATGCATCACAAAGTGGGTTGGAGCCATGACAACCCAGAGCGAGACTGAAACTCTAGAAATCACTCCAACTTCAAACCATGATGTTTGCAGAGGTCTCGAACCCTGAGGAGGGAGGGCAAAACTGATTCACATCACTACTTGCTCTCAGTGTAAGTCAGTTAAACCTTGGCGTCTCTGTCTCCTCATCATCAGTGCACTTTGAGAGAGGGATTATTCTAATGCTAATGGCAGATCAGCTCTGATCTGAACCAAGAAATAACAACACATTCCGGTTTAGAATTTGATGCCTTTGAAAGGCAGGGAAAGACAATTAACTCTCACTTAGGCAGAGTTTTGTTTATTTCATTTAGCTTAAGCCAAATCTAATGGTTTCTGGAACTTGGGAAGAGCCGCTACTTAAGCCATTTATAGAGAGAGATGCATTCCATTCTATAAATGAGTTTTTCATACGTGTCAACCTGCAATGCCTACTCTTACTTGCTCTGTTACACCGAATAATTTGATGCCCCTCTTCTGCCTTCATCAAACACTCACTACATTGGCTTTCCTTTCATCACCTAACAGCATTATAATTAATTTTTAAATTGACAAGGCATTTTGATGACCTAAAATAGACACTTTGGAAAGAAGTATTATTTTAGCAATTCACAAAAGCTACATTTTAATTTATACATGGGCCAAGGTCACATCTTAGGCATTACTTATTTCTGAAAATTATTTTTTTTTCCTGGCAGCTTTTGTGTTACTATGCAAAAAAAAAGAAAATTAAGTACATTTTCTTCAATGAGATATTTTTATTTCTTATGAAATGTATGTACTATTTAATGTCAATTTTAGTGGTTTAATTCTGTGATCCATCTATTTCATGGTACATGATAATTCTAATAAGGTTAGGAACTAGTATCATCTTAGATGCCCTTTCAGGGGCCCCTGTGATCTTTTTACATACACCTGGCTCTGATTTCTGATTCTCAGTGGTGGTGGCAGGTACTGGGGGTGATGCTATATATTTCTTAACTCTGAGTAACTGTCAAGAAAAATGGCAATACACAAATGGGACATATTTGCATTTCATAGAATGCAATGAAGATTGGTACACATGGGAGAATGTAGAGGAATGTGTAACTATCAAAGAGTGGAACAAGAGAGACAGCAAAACAGCAGGGCATATGACACCTCACCATTTTGGTGCCCTCCTCCAGATCTTATCCAAGTTATCAATGCCCATCTAAAAACAGTGGGCCAGAACCAAACACCAGTAATTCTAAACCAGTCTTACCAGTACTGAATGCTGATATGTCACTTCCTGGCTTAATCTGGATATTACGTTTCTATTAATGCAACCTGGGGTCACAAAGCTATCTAGAAACCAGGTCGTATCTTTAAAACCTCCAACAGATAGAAGAAGCAACAGCATGCCAGTTTACATAGAGGAAAACTGGGTATGCAGTGGGCAAGTGAGTTGGTCACTAGGGACATCCTCATAAGATACCCTTATGATTGTGGTGCTTACCTTGCCAACCTGAGATCACACAGTCATTTAGTTTCTCTCTTGTCTCTTATCTCTTGCTTTTCAATTGGCCGAGTACACTAGGGATGGGGAGCTTTGGGTTTGTCAGTTGAACCTGGTCTTTTCGGTTAATAATTTTGCCCCTGAGATTGTGTGGAACTGGACGCCAGTGCCCTACCCTAGAGAACAGGAGCTCTCTTGAAGTGGAGCTCACTGCTTTTAGTTATCAAACAATATTTTTACTAGAGTTAATTGGCAATACTCATCTCAGTCCGTAAGAGTGTGCCTGATATATCATGATAAATAAAATGTTTAAAAATTCAACAGCTGCACAAGTAAACCTTTGAAGACATAGTGGAGCCTTTTTCAGCTCTTAGAGAGCTTCTCAGTGTGTCCACATTGTGAAGTGCTCGGAGGAACAAGCCAAAAAGCCCCTAGACTTTTGAAAACCCAATGTTAACTTTTTACATTTTTAAAAATAAATGTCCTCGTGTTCCCGGTAGGATGAAAGGTATGATAACCAAAACACTGTGGGCTGCATGCTGTGGCATACTATTCTCTGACCTGTAAAAATAAATTTTTCTGGTGTGAGTAGGCGTTCCAATAAAAGAAGAGCAAGCCTAATTGTAAACTGGGGACTTTATTCTCTTGACTATTTATTACGGTGATGGGGGAGCCGGACACCCACTCTGAGAGGAAACACTTTCAGATGTTCACATCTTTCCATAACATGCCAGTGTGGAACACTAAGGAAGGTGAAGAGTCAGATTCCTGTCTTTGTTCTATAAATTTCTTCTGCGTTTCCAAAGAAGTTCTACTGAACTACAATGGCTGCAAAGAAATGCTAAGTGGGGAAACAGAATTATTCTGTAACCAGTGTTAAAGGCTTTTTTGAATAATAAGGACTTTCCTTTGTTTATCTATTTGAGCACATTAAAATGCTACTAACTGGACTCCTTCATAGCAGGAATTTTGGATTAAGGGACAACTCACATCAGGGAAAAAAGCCTGATAACTTTATTTTTAAACTAACACACAGAAGGGTTAAGTGAGAATTGTGACACTGGGATTGGAATGCAGACATCTAATGGTGAGATTTTCCATCTAGGTGAACTTTCCATTACCCAGCCCTCCTCTCTCTCCCTCTGCTCACTGACTCCAACCACACTGGCCACCATGCTGTGCCAGTACACCCAGCAAGCTCCCATCACAGGGTAATTGCCCTGGCTGTTATCTCTACCTGCAACAAATGCTCTTCCCCCAGGCAGCTCTGGCTCACTTCCTCACTTCCTCACCTTCTTCAACATTTTGCCCCAGAGATGCCTCCTCAGTAAGGCCATTACTAAGCCTTCTTCCTAAAACCACTTACCCCTGCCCTCCTCATGCCCTTTGCCCTCCTCTATCATTTCCCCATATGAATGACCTTAAACATACCTCGAGATTGACTTATATATAATACTCATGGTCTGCCTCCACCGAGTAAAACATGAGTCCCAAGGACAGAGATTGCTGCCTGTTTTGATGTCTAATGTAATGGTATCTCACCCTTGCCAAGTATCCTATACACATAGAATTGTATCTTACACATTTCAAGGCCTTTTTCTATTTTTTATTTACTCAGTGCGTTAACAGTGAGGCCGTATGCATCTGCAGCAACTCCCTTTTTGCCTCCTAGGTAAAAATTCAGCTGAGGAGCATAAGGCAGAGGGAGAAACTGAGGCAGTTTTAGAGCAGGAGTGAAAGTTTATTGAAAAGTTATGAAGCAGGAACTAAAGGAAGTCAAGTACACTTGGAAGAGGACCAAGCAGGTGACTTGAGAGATCCAAGCATGCTGTTCAGCCCTTTACTTGGGGTTTTATACATTGGAATAGTTTCAGGGTTTCTGTTTTTCCTCCCTTGATTTTTCTCTTGGCTGTCCACTTGCACAGCTTGCAGTGGCCTGCCAGCACGTGGGAGGGGCCACATGCAAGGTGGTTACTGAAGTTGTGCGCATGCTCATTTGAGGCATTTTTCCTTTACCAGTCATGTATTCCAAAAGGCAGGCCATATACCAGTTAAACTCTGCCATTTTGCCTCTTAGTGCACATGCTTGAGCCTGCTCACCCAGCTCCTGAGATCTTACTGGGAAGGCGCTGATCACCACTTTCAGGTGTTCTCTATCTGTTGAGACGCAGCCTTTCCCTGGCACCAGCTGCCACCAATTATTGTTTTAGAGATAGTTTAACAACCAGCTGACTATCACTTGATGGCTGCCTGACATTCCTGGGATGGGGGGGCTCTCCTGTTGAGCTCACGTCTGCCTAGCTACCTACTCTAACAAGTATGTTCTTCTAAAGATATTTTGGAAAATGATCCCATATCATGTTTTGAATGATGTAAATCTCATTGTCTTCAAAACAACACTGTAAGGTAGGCACTGTCCCCATTCTACAGATGACAAAACATATTCAAAATTAAGCAAATAGCTTAAGATCACACAGCTTTTAAGGGAAAGTTTAAAAATTAAACTATTTTCTGATTTCAAGCTCAGGGATCATTCAACAACCCTACGTAATGGAGATCTAGAATGGCCGTCGATTCTGATTCTATTCTCCTTGAAGGAAAGCCCACTGACATGGCCCTGGCGTATCACCCCACCATATTTGCAGTATGTAGGATCATGTCTGGTATGCAGTAGGTGTTCATAAATATTTGTTGATTAAACAAATGGCTAATGTTAAGGATAAAATCTCTGTCAATCTCTGAAAGACTTAAAATAGCTCATCTTCCTCCTGTTCTTTTTCTTTTCCTCCTCTCTGAACAACTCAATGTGAAGTCCTTTGGGTGGGGAAGACTAAGGCAGGCTTCTGCAGCTGAGGGCTGTGAGAGCCCACGCAGGGGCCTGGAGTGGAGTGTCTAAGCTCAGGCAGGGTGAGGATGGGGGTGATGCTGTGCAGAGTGCGGAGCCCTAGAGGACTGGGGAGAGTGTTCACACAGAAAGGCAGCCTACAGTGGGCATCGGAGTCCAAAGAGGATAAGGAGGTTATTCACTCAGGGGCATGACATGGTGTGGGGCATTGGAACTCAAACAGGGAGGGAATGGGTGCCCTGGTATTGGGTTGTGGGGCCTGAACAGATTGAGGCAGAGGAGGGTGTCCTTTCAGAGGAGCAGCCTTTCATGTACAGTCAGAGCCTAGGGGGCTGGGGCAGCTGTCCAAACCAGGTGAACTGCTGTAGGGAGGAAGAGCCTGACTGAGAGGATGGGGCATCCTTTCAAGGAGACGGCCCAGTGACAGGGTTTAGGAACCTGAATAGGGTGAGATGGGCATGCACGTGTGGAATAGCCTGGCATTAGCGGTCAGGACCCAAGCAGGATGAGCAGCACCTCCACATGGGGTGAGTCGGGCACTCAGATTGGGGACAGACAGCTTGAGCAGGAAGAGGGAGGTGTAGGGAGGGGAAGATGTTTGGGATGGAAGATGGGTTACATACAGAGGGATTTATCAAATAAACAAATATATTAAAAATAACAGAAAACAGTTTAGTCACTGTTAAAAAAAATCAAATGGGAGAAAGCTGGAATGAATGCTGTGGTGTTAGACTGGAATTGGGATATTGTGTTAGCTCATATTTTTCAATATATAGAGATAAACATGGAAACAAATTCATATGTAAATGTACGTGAGTGTGTGTGTATATCCTCTAGCTCTGTCCAGTGAGAGTAGCTGGGATTAGCCATCACTTCTTCATCCAATAGCAATGAGCACACCTAGCTCACAGTTCTTGATTTCTAAATACCATTTTCCTCTTAAAAAAACCAGGGCTCCTCTGAGAAATGGCTGATTTCAGGACTGGGGCAGGGAAAGTATAAAGAAAGCCTGGAACATCTTAAATTGCGAGAAAATAAGGAAGTGCTGGAGGAATGAGAGAGCCACCTCACAAAAACACAGAAGCCAGTTTGAAAGGGGATTCCCACTGACCAAACTGGGGACAATTTGGGCATCAACACATATAATGATAATAGATTATGACCCCTTGAGAAAAATAGGAGACAAATGACTCCACACTGATAACAACAAATATAAACATGAAAGTTTAATGAGAAACAGGTGATTTATAAAGTTTCAAAGTACCTGCCCATAAAATAACCATTAATTACAAAGGGAAAGGATAACTTTACAGTAAGAAATCCTGACAGACCCCAATGTAATCAGGAGACTGAAGTAAACCTTCATCAGTGACAGAACCAATTAAATTGTAAGCCAGAAGAGACACTGCAATAAGAATACAGTGCCACTTCTGTGCTATTTCTTCTTGTCGAAGAAGTATCTGAAATAGCCTAACCTTAATCATGGAGAAATACCAGACAAACCCAGCTTGAAGGATTTTCTACAAAATGACTGGTTTGTAATCTTCAGAAGAGTCAAAGTCATGAAAGTCAAGAAAAGGGTGATAAATCATTCCAGACCAAAAAAACCCTAATGGGACAGGACAACCAACTGCAACAGGGAATCAGAACTAGATTCTGTTGCTATAAAGAACTTGTATTGGGACAACTAGTAACATTTAATAGGTCTTGAGGAATAGATGGTAGTACAGATCAACATTAACTCTCTGATTTTGGTTATTAAATTGTGATTATATAGGAATATATCCTCGGAAACACACAATGAGGTACTGAGGGATGATGATGCATCATGTCCACAACCTAATCTCAAATAATTCAGGGGGAAAAAGTTGTGTGTACTGTGCTCCTAATGTTTCTGTGAGTTTATGATTGTTTCAATACTCAAAACAATTAAAAAATAAAACAGTAGGCATACTCCCTTCAAAAGAAAGAAATTTAAAAAAAGGTCCATGCTCTTTGTATGTTAACAATGTACAATTACGTTAAAAATGTAAATTAAATCAGGATCTAGTTTCTGTCACTGACTGATTTTTCCTCATATAATTTGTTTTTGAGTTGTGAATGAAGATATGAAACAAGTATCAAAACTAAATACCAGTGATAGCTATCTTACTGGTAGCCATCTTACTGGAAAATGAGGTAGTCCACCAGCTGCTCTTTATTTCTTATTTTATTTATTTCTTTTTTGGAGATGGAGTTTCACTCTAATGACAGTCTGGAGTGCAGTGCCACATTCTAGGCTCACTGCAACCTCTACCCCTGGGTTCAAGTGATTCTCCTGCCTCAGCCTCCCAAGTAGCTGGGACTACAGGCACATGCCACCATGCCCACCTAATTTTTGTATTTTAGTAGAGACGGGGTTTCACCATGTTGGCCAGATGCTCTCAATCTCTTGACCTCATGATCCGCCCGCCTCGGCCTCTCAAAGTGCTGGGATTACAAGGCGTGAGCCACTACGCCTGGCCAAAGCTACTCTTCATAAGAGCTATTATCTTACTCTTACCAACTTGTTCACCAACAAGTCAGGCTAAGGATCTACATTACACAAAAGGAATTTGTATACTTACCACTCTGTCCCAAGTGGAGAGAAAGAAACCAAACACATTTACAATTATGAACTGTTATTTAAATTTATGTGACTTATTTTGGAAAAATAATGCAGTTATTAATGCCAAGTCAATAATAATGTTAGATATCATATGAAAAAAATGATCTATGCAAAAGAAAACATTGGTCTACCCACC